AACCGTTTTACCAGCTCTGACACCAATCCTCCTCTCCATGGCATGCTCTACTTTTCTGCTGGGCTTGATAATTCATTGCAATGGTCACACAGAACTCAAAGATTACACGCACATTTATGGGATTTATCAGGATCAACTCAGAAGTAACAGCAACAATTCATGAGTCAGGCCACAATTCATCAGCCAGGACAGCTCTCAGCTTTCTGTTGGCTATGCCTACAGGCCTCACTTCTCAGCTTGGTCTTTGCTAATGGGCTCTGCTCAAGCCCCTGCCCTGCTTGGGCAAATGCTCCAGCTCTATTGGTTCTACCATTAAGTGCCTGGAGGCACTCACTCCACCAGCAAGTCTCCTCCATGTCCACAAGCAAGTGAGCGGCTCAGCTCTTTCACTCTGTGGGCTGAGAAGATCTGCCGTCTTCTGGTTGTGTTGCCTCTACTGCTGCTGTTTCTCACTCTCACTTGCCATCTCTGGTGATACAGTTGTCTGTCTCCTAGGTCTAGGAGGCTTCCAGCGCAGAACTCCAGGTCCATAGGATGTGCTCCACTCCCATCATTTTTTGGTGGTAGTCAGGTACCCCCTTTCTGCCTCGAGGGTGGCTCATTTTAAGTCTTGCAAAACTGACTAATCCCCTCAATAAGGTGTATGGTTCCATGCATCTTATTTACATTATTAGCGAACTATCCAATCCCCTTGGTGGGCCACAAGTACTTTACAAAAACAACAACCACCACCCAATCATTGGAGACATGGTGTGGTGCTGTGAGTTAATGCACTGGACTGCAAGTTCAGTCTGAACTGCAAGGTTGGTAGTTCAAGCTCACCAGCTGCTCCTCAGAAATCCTATACAGGGTCACTATGAGTCAGAACCAAATCATTGGAGTCTTGGTGTGGCAATGTAGGAGCATTGGACTGCTAACTATAAAGTCGGAAGTTCAAACCCACCAACCACATCAGGGTCACTATGTATTGGAATTGACTCCATGGCACTTAACAACAACAATCCAGTCATTGGGAGCACAGTGGCTCTGTATGATAAGCACTAGACTGCAAACCACAAAGTCGGTGGTTTAAGCCACAGGAGAAAGATGAGGCTTTATGTTCCCGCAAAGATTTAAAGCCTTGGAAACATTACACAGGGTCTCTGTGAGTTGGAACTGATTTGATGGCATGTAACACTACCAACAACCCAATCATTTGATGGGTGTAACAAGACCATGATGAGGAAGGTCAATAAAAGTCATCCATGGTACTGCAGTGGTGTAGGACCAGGCAGGGTTTTTTCTGTTACATAGGGTGACTATGAGTCAGAACCAGCTAGAATTCACCTAACACCAACAGATTTTGTTGAGGATGTACTCATTTGCTTCTATTTTCTCAATGAAGATTAAGCCAAGAACAGAAGTTGGAGGAGAGAGGGGAGATGATGGAGGTTGGAGATGAGAAGGTATGACAGGCATTTGGAAGTGTGAGAGAACAAACTTGTCAGAAGCTTGCCATAGACTCTCAGGTAGTGTTGTACACCCATTCGGGTTTTGTGGGCATAAATTTAAAGTGAGACTAGTCATCAGTGGTCGAATGTGATTCATAAGCGCCTAGGAATTAATTGCTATTAGATGCCATAGAGTTGGTTCTGATTTATAGTGATGCTGTATACAACAGGATGGAACACTATCAGGTGCTTCACCATTTTCACATTCGTTCCATTGTTTGAACCCATTGTTGCAGCCACAGTGACAACCTACATTCCTCTTTTTCACTGATCCTCTACTTTACCAAGCATGATGTCCTTTTTCAAAGGCTGGTCCCTCCTGATAACATGTCCAAAGTATGTAAGATAAAATCTCACCATCCTCCCAAAAAGCATTCTGCCTGTACTTCTTCCAAGACAGATTTCTTCGTTCTTCTGGCAATCCATTGTATAGTCAATATTCTTCACCAACCTCATAATTCAAAGGTATCTATGCTTCTTTGGTTTTTCTTATTCATTATCTAGCTTTTGCATGCATATGAGGTGATGGAAAACATCATGGCTTCAGAAAGATAGTGGTGCCCTCAGCAACACAAGTAAGTAAAGTGTTATGTAGAACATTTGGATGAGAGAAGACGAAACAAAATAAAGAATGCTTATCTGTCTTCTTGAAGGAGAGAAAAGATAATTATTTGAGAATAATGCCATATTTCAATAAGCACAAATATATTAAGTTCTCAAGTTGAAGATAACGTATGGTGAAGGAATTGCAGAATATTGGGATAGTGAAAATATTTGGGAATGAATTATTAAAGTTTAGCTTCAGACTAGGTTTCAGAAGTTACTCAAGGTATATGTTAACAGAAAGTACAAGTAAAAGGATTAAAAAATTAATGAGCAAGATGGCCAGTATGGGCTATGTTGTATGCAGTCTTGAGTAAATGAAAGAATAAATAAAGCGTGAGAGCAGGAATGGTACTAGTTTCCATAGTCTGAGGAGTAGCCTCTTTATGCTAAGCAGTAACAGGTTGCTCAACTGACAATGACTGCTATTTAGCACTTGCTTTGTGCCCAGGCACTGTGCTAATTGCTTTACATCTAGGGGGTGGAGGGGTGGAGAATTAAAAAATTTTTGTAGAAAAGTCTATTATCTTTTCATTCCATTTTTTCCACAAATTTTTTGAAGCCCCCTTATGTTATTTCTAATATTCACTACAACCCTACAAAATGATATATTGCTAATTATTTGTTAGTAATTATTATCATTGTTGTTTTTAAGTGCCATTGAGTCGGTTCCAACCCATAGTACCCCTGTATCGGGTTTCTGAGGAGCAGCTGGTGAGCTTGAACCACCAACCTTGCAGTTCAAACAGCTTTGCAGTCTGGCGTGCTATCCCATAGCGCCACACCAGGACTCCTTAGTAATTATTAATAATAATTAAAATTCTATTTCAGAGATGAGATTGAGACTCAGCAGTTCAGGTGAGGAATCCAGCTAATAAGGAAGTGAGATAGGCTTGGAGCCAGGTCTCTCTGATTCCATGCTCTTGTTAAGTACCATGGGGTTGGTTCCAATTCATAGTGACCCTGTGTAGGGCTTTCAGGAACGGCTCGTGAGTTTGAACTGCTGACCTTGTGGTAGAAAGCTTATCCTAGAGCACTACCACAGGACTGATTCCATAGGTTTACATTTGACTGCTTTTTGAACTCCTCTTTCTAGCACTCGTAGCGTTCCATCGGGGTAAATATTTCCACCACTAACCCATGGACATCCTTCAGATCTCAGCGTAAACACCTCATTGGAGAGGTTTCCTTGGCTGTTGTAAAATGTTGTTGTTGCGAGCCTTGGAGTCAATTCAGACTCATAGTGACTGCAGTTTTCTAAGAGCTTCTGGTAGGCTTGAACTTTGCAGTTACCAGTTCAGTGCTTATCCTATATGCCACATCCTTGGTTCTCTAGTCAACCATTTCTCCCCTAGTGTTTATGTAATTTTGCAATGATTTTTGCCAACTTACTTTTTGGCACCTTTTCTTAATATTAAGCCCCATGAGACTAGAGTCATGTTTCCTTTTGATTTCTCAAAGCTCTGCTGTTCAGTACAGGAGCCACTAGCCATATGTGCTATTGACTATGGCAAATGTGATAGATTTCCGAGGAGGAGCGACTGGTGGGTTTGAACAGCCGGCTGACCTTTCCAGGTAGCAGTCCAGTACTTTTCCTACAGCACCACACTAGGATGGAGATGTGCAGGAAGTGTAAAATACCACACCAGTTTTTGAACTCTTGGTATAAATAAGAGTGAAAGAAAAAAGAATGTACATTTCTTTAATACTCTTACATTATGTTGAAATATTTTTGTATAGTTAGAACATGGTTTAAAAATAATTTCACCTCTTTCCTTTTTTAATGTGGCCGCAGGAAAAAGATGAGGCCTTCTGCTCTCATAAAGATTTACAGCCTCGGAAACCCTGTGCAGGGTCACTATGTGTCGGAACTGACTCCACAGTACTTAACAACAACAACAACTGTTGTTGTGGGTTAATGCGCTGGATTGCAAAGTGGTTCAAGCTCACCAGCCGCTTCTTGGAACCCTATACAGGGTTGCTATGGGTCAGAACAGACTTGACTGTCAATGCCATCTTTGTGGAAGCAGAAAGCTTCATCGTTCTCTCAGTGAGTGGATGGTGGGCTTGAATTGCAGACTTGTGGTTCGCAGTCCAGTGTTCATCGTATCGAGTCGCCACGCTCCCAATGTGGTTACTGTAAAGATTGAAAATTAGACGCATGACTCATATGTTTCTGGGTTCCCGGGCAAATGTATTGAATGAAATAACCAATGTGAACAGATAAACTGAATGAATGGGTAAGTGAAGAGATATGGTCTCTGCCTTGCATTAGAAAAATGTATGCAGCATTGTCCTAAAGGTCAAGACACTGGGTTCTGGTCCAGGATATATGGAAATATTGTGTAGCCTGGGGCCAGCCCTTCCTCACGGTAGGGGTCATTTTGCCCATCAGATCTGAGGTCTGGAAGTTTATGAGAGCAGGTGACAGAGAAAAGTGGGAAAACAGTCTGGTACAACGGAACTTGTCTTCAGTTTGGCTCTAGCCTCTTAACATTTAAGCTTCTGCCATTGAAAGGGGGCAGCGAGAACCTCACACTAGATGCCTGAACCGAGAGCCCCAGCAGCCGGTTTCCTTGATCTGACGTCACTGGGGCGCGACAGCGTAGTAGGTCTGGTCTGTGGGGCGACAGTTCTGAAGCTCCCTTAGGTGAAGGTGAGATCTAGGCCAACAGACGACTAAACAATTCCTGAGCCTCTTTGGGACTCTGTTCTCTGTAAATTACCCTCCACCATCCTCCCTCTTACTTCGCTATTATTGACATCTGGAGCTAGGGAGAGTCCTGCATCTACGAACTCCGCCCCGATCACCTACAGGCGAACCCCAGCGCGGCTGCGCAGAGCACGTGCGCGTCCTAGCTGGAGTCCCGGCGATTGGCTGTGACGTAACTTCCGGTGCGAGCGGCGAAAGCCGGGAGGGCAAAAAAGAGAGCAGGCAGGCAGCAGGCAGGCGGGCGGGCCGAAGGCACTGAGGAGGGAGTGAACGAGCAGTGAGTGAGCCAACGAGGGCAGCAGTGTCCCGAAGACAGCCGAGATTCCTCCCGCCCCTCTGGCCCCCACCCCGGAGCCCACAACGCCTCCGGTCTCCAGCGGAGTGGACACGGCCCGGCCCGGCCATGGCCTCGTTGCTGAAGGTGGATCAGGAAGTGAAGCTCAAGGTAGCGGCACCGGTCCGAGCTTCCGCACCCCAAGCCTAGTTCCCTCTGCAGTCTGACTGACTCCCCACTCCCCATGGCGTCTTTGTCTCCCTGGGGACGCCAGCTCTGAGCTTCCGCTGGGCTCAGCCCAGCCCCCGCTCCTGGAGCCAGCATCGGGGGAGAGGATAATATAGGGTTGCCTTTGGTACCCAGTCTGGTGATGGAGAGCCCCGGGAGACCTCGGCGGACACGTGTTGGTCTCAATGCTTTAGACCAGTGACAGCTGGAAATCCCCCAACCCAGCCAAGTCCCCGCCCCCGGACGATGCTGCCACCACCGTTACCGCCGCTGCCCTTGGCGTCAGGCCTACCCTATATCAAAGGCCAGGTCTGGGAGGGGGTTGGCACGTTTGTGAGCTCACATCCCCCAACTACTTGTCTTTTGTTCCCTGTCAAATCCAGGCAGCTTTGGATACAGGGAGGGAAGGAAGGAGGGCGGGAGGGAAGGAGGGAGGGAGGGAAGGAAAAAAGACAGGTGGGTGCAGCCTTCAAGCCCCACTTACTTCTAAGATGGAAAAATGGATCATAAAAAAAATGAAATATTTGCATTCTGGGGGTCTCTCAGCTTCTCATTACAATCACAAGGTGAGGAAAAGGCACTTGGATTTGGGATTTGCCAGCCTGCCTTTACCCCTGTTGCGGGTACTGTAAAATTTGCCTTCACTGAATTGCTCTCTTTGTTAATTTTAGGTTGATTCTTTCAGGGAGAGGATCACAAGCGAGGTAAGTGAAATAGATTGGAAAGTTAATATACTTTTTAGTAGTTGAGCATTTCCCAAAGTTGAGGATATCTATAGAGACCTACCTACAGTTACTAATTCAGCCCTGTTTCCTCACCTTTAGGCAGAAGATTTGGTGGCAAATTTTTTTCCAAAGAAGTTGTTAGAACTTGATAGTTTTTTGAAGGTGAGAGACCTTTTTTTCCCCCTCTTTCCCCCAATCTTCCCCAACCCCCCTTTTTTTTTTGCTCTTTCTCTTTTGTTAAATGATATGAAGTGAAGTATGTGTTGATTCCATTTTGTTTTGCACTGTTAAGCACTGTCTCATTTCTTGCCCTTCAAATGAAAGACTGCTTTGTTCAGCTTGAAAAGACTAAGGTGTTTGGGGGGGTTTGGGCATCTCTGTTTCAGGAACCGATCTTAAACATCCATGACCTAACTCAGATCCACTCAGACATGAATCTCCCGGTCCCTGATCCCATTCTTCTCACCAATAGCCATGATGGACTGGATGGTGTAAGTGCCATTTTATGTTTATCTTTCTGTTTGTAAGCAATGAGTTTTGTGTTCTTTGCTTCCGAGTCAGGGCGAACATGTTCAGGCAAGAGGAGGATTGGGACCTGGGAACCAGGACTCCATGACAGTTGTAGCGTACTCCCTTTAGACTAAAAAATTCTGCTCTTTTTATTGTCAGTTTATAGGACTAAACTGAACACAGGTTCTGTCAGGTGAAGTAGCCTATGCCTCCCCATGTCTTGGTAAGGTCTTCTTGCCATGTAACTCCAGCCCCTGTCTTTGATGTGCTTTTTTTTCTTTAGAACCGAGTTTTTGTCAGTCATATGTTAATTCTATTAAAACATCGATCATAACTATTTGTTATTTATCTGCATTGCTGTCTCCCTGACAGAACTTGCACTTTTGGAAGGTTGGAACTGTGTACTTAGTACGTAGCATTGTATCTGGTATATTGTTGTTAAGTGTTTTTCTGAAGAGCAAATGAAGGGTTTGAACTGCTGACATTGTGGTTCACAGTCCAGTGCTGATCTTACAGCGCCACACTAGGTGTCTGTCTGGTGTATGTTGTTGCTTAGAGCTGATGAGTTGGTTCCGACTCATAGCAATCCTGTATAGGGCTTCCAAGGAGCACAGGTGCGTTTGAACTGCTGCCCTTGTGGTTCACAGTACTGTGCTGGTCCTACAAGTGCCACAGCAGGTGTGGTGCTGGAGGTGGTGTGCCGTGGAGTCGGGTTCAACTCATAGTGACCTTGCATAGGGTTCCTGAGGCTGTAAATCTTTACCGGAGCAAAAATCTTTTTTTTACCGGGCTGTAAATCTTTTCGCCTGTGAAACAGCTGGTAGTTTTGAACTGCTGACCTTGAGGTTAGTAGCCCAACTCGTAACCACTTTGCATGGTGGTGGTTATGTGCCGTGGAATCAGGTCCGACTCATAACAACCCTGTACAGGGTTTCCGAGGCTGTAAATCTTTACGGGAGCAGAAAGCCTCATCTTTCTCCCGCGGAACAGCTGGTAGTTTCGAACTGCTGACCTTGCGGTTCACAGCCCAATTCGTAACCACTACACTACCAGAGCATACCAGGTACTAAATGCTTGTTGACTGAATATTGTGTTCCTTTCTGGAACCAGCAAATTTGTACATATTCCCTTAATTAACCTCACCCTAAATTAATCGGTTTGTTTTTTGTAGTATCCTCTTCTCACCCCTACCTTCCAACTGCTAATGTCTTATTTTTTAAAAGAGTGATCTTCCCAACTAGAATAAAAAGTTGTTTTATGCAAAATAGCATTTCTTAAAGCCTTATATGTATTTAGTAAATTGTGCACAAATTCTCCAAACAATCTATGGTGTTGAGGAAGAGATTAGACTTAATTGAAGGGTATCTGGAGGTGTGGATGTCAAGGGCAGGCTAATTTATCCTTCTTTTGTATCCTCAGCCCACTTATAAGAAGCGAAGGTTGGATGAGTGTGAAGAAGCCTTCCAAGGTAAGAGCTACCCCCCACACCATCACTGACCTGCATCCCTAAGAAGCAGGTGGACCAGGGAGTCTCCTGGTTAGGAGACAGGATCTGATTTTATTCTCCAGAGCCAGCATTCCAAACATGGTCATTAATTAGTCCTCTACCAAATTTTCCAGTAAGGAGGGAGGATTTGACTTATGGACTGCCAAGTTAAAGAAGTTGTAGGTAGAGTCTACATACCCAGATTTTCATGCAAGTCTAAGTTCCATGTTATTTTTCCCCCTTCAATAAAATTGATATATTTTGTATTTTTTGTAGTATCCTCTTCTCACCCCTACCTTCCAACTGCTAATGTCTTATTTTTTAAGATTGATCTTCCCAACTAGAATGAAAAGTTGTTTTGTGCAAAATAGCTTTTAATATCTTAAGTCTTAAGACTTTTGATATGCTTTTTAAAAATTTGTATTGTGAATTGAGTGAAGGTTTACAGACAAGATCATCAGTTTTACACTCAACAAATCCTACACTTTGTTTCATCTCAGTGATTACAAACACTTTCATGCAATAACAGTCATCCCGCTTCCTCTTTGTGGTTCCTGTTTGCATTCCACCCGTCTTCCCAGTCCTTCTCAACTTTGTCCTTAGGTTAATGTTGCCATTTTAATTTTGACTGAATGACTGTTCCATCAATCATAGCATACTTTACTAGTAGTGTTCCCCTGTATGCTTATATACTGCTTGGCTGAAAGTTAGTCCTCAGGGTGAGTTCCTTTCCAGTCATGAAGGAACGAGGGCCACAGTCTCAGGTTCCTGCAGTCTCTTTCTCAACAGTAAGCCTGGTCTTTTTTTATTTTTCCAATAATTTTGAGTTTTTCCCCACATATTCTGCCACGCTATCCAGGACCTTTTAATGTGATCCCTTTCAGAGCAGTTGTTAGTAGTAGCCAGGCACCATCTAGTTCTTCTGGTCTCATAGTCTTGAAGACTGATGTTCACATGTTTCATTAGTCTGTTGAACTAATTGATTCCAAGCCTCTTCAGTTCTTACTCTTCTTTTCTAATGCACATGGAAAGACCAATAGCTGTACCTTAGATAGCCACTCATAGGCAAACAAGATCCTAGAGGCTACTCACCAAAGTATGTAGAACATTGTCTTTGTGGACTGTGTCATGCTAATTGACCTTGGTGTGTCCCCTGAGACATGTTCTGAGCTCTTTCTGGCATGCTTTGCATACTCATTTGTTAATACATAAACTGTCTTTGATTCTAACAGTGGTGTCATGGTATGTGGTTAGGGTTGTGACAAAAGGCAAAAATCATAGCATCTCATGGGTGTGAGGAAGGATTAAGAAAAGTGGAGGATGCTGTGACCTCCTCCCCACTCCATCCATTTGACCTTCATATCCCTGCCAGGAACCAAGGTGTTTGTGATGCCCAATGGGATGCTGAAAAGCAACCAGCAGCTGGTGGACATTATTGAGAAAGTGAAACCGGAGATCCGGCTGCTGATCGAGAAATGCAACACGGTGAGACAGGCTAGTGACCTGAGGCCTAGACCCAAATAGCCCCACTTGAACAAAAAAGTCATGGTTAAGGGGCTGGCGGCGTGGTGATGGAGTTGGGCTTGGCTCCTGTACTCCTGGCCCCAGCAGCCTGAATCATATACTTGTTAAGTGCTTTCAAGTCAATTTCTGTATAGGGTTTCCAAGGAGCGGCTTGTGTGTTTGAACTGCCGGCCTTGCGGTTAGCAATCCAGTATTTATCCTCTAGCGCCATACTAGGACTCCGGGAATCATATACTTAGAGGACTTCAAAAAGATCATTGGGAAATGGGATTAAAAGATAGTGGGATTTCTCCATGCACTTTTTGAAACTGCCGTGTACTGTAGGGATTTAGCAGAAAGGGCTAAGATTCTCATATGGTTTTTGGTTTCCCTACCATCCAGGTCAAAATGTGGGTACAACTCCTGATTCCCAGGATAGAAGATGGGAACAACTTTGGTGTATCTATTCAGGTAACGGTGCTTAACTTGTTGTAAAGTAGGAGGAGAGGTTTGACATATATGCCCCTCTCCCTGCTGTGTTTTGTTGCTGCAGGGTGACATGGAAGTGGCTTTCAGCTCACTGGTTTTTGTTGTTTTTCAGGAAGAGACAGTTGCAGAACTAAGGACAGTGGAGAGTGAAGCTGCATCTTACCTGGACCAGATTTCTAGGTAGGAGGTCTGCTTGAGCTTGGCCCAGGAACTGGGATGGGTTCGGGGGCAGGAGGTAGTAGGCACTGCCCAGGGTCGCCTGAAATTTCCTCCTCTTATCTCTTTCTAGATATTATATTACAAGAGCCAAATTGGTTTCTAAAATAGCTAAATACCCCCATGTGGTAAGTAAGGATTTTGTGGCCTGAGGGTGGAAGTGGTTAGGAGAGGGGGAAGAGTGACTTGGAAAGAACCGTCTGTGGCCAGGCCTTGGGGAACAGCCATTGCTTCTGCCTCTGCTTTCAGGAGGACTATCGTCGCACAGTGACAGAGATTGATGAGAAAGAGTATATCAGTCTTCGGCTCATCATATCAGAGCTAAGGAATCAATATGTGAGTAGCCTAGGTCCTAGCCCACAGTTACTCTGGCCTCGTAGTTGCATTGATAATTTTCTTGCCATCCTCTAGAGTAGGGGTGGGAACGTGCGGCCCATAGGCCATGTAAGACATGCAAAGTCATTTGTTGTAGCCCTGCCAAAGCAACCACAGTGCCATTTGGGCTGAGTTAATTATATGTTTGACCATATAGCAAGCTAATTTTTAAGTTGAAAATTTTGTATGGCCCATAAATAATGTTAAAAACTTTGGTAGAAAAAGTACCCACCCTTGCTCTAGAGGTGGCCCTGGGTAGTAGGCCAAAATGAATGGCACAGATTCTGCATACTAACTTGAGTGTCGAGAACCATAGAATCATTGAGGGTGTCTAGCTGGGTATTACCCTTCTTTCTGCCTAGGTGTCAGGGGAGGGGAATACGGGATAGTAGCTAAGAGATGAGTGTAAGAGTCAGACCGGCTACTCAGAATGTGGGACCGGGAGTAAGTTCCTTAACATCTTAAACTGTGTCTCTAAAGTGGACCTTTATCTACCTTACAAAGATGGTGTTAAAAAATAAGTGAGATGATGACGCATTGAAGGCCTCAGCACGTTCTCACTTGTGTTAAGTGGTCAGTGAATGTTAGTTGTTACTGGACATTGGAGTGTTGGAAGGTCATTGAAAATGCTAGAACCAGTTTCAAGCTACCTTGAAGGCAGTTTTAAGTGAATAATACTGGGGTTATGCCTGTGGGACAGGGGGTGGAAATTGTGAATATACTGTGTGGGGGGTTTCTCTTTCTTTGTGAGGTGCAGACAGATGTCTGATTGCCTGATCCGATTTCTCCCAGGTCACTCTACATGACATGATACTGAAAAATATCGAGAAGATCAAACGGCCCCGGAGCAGCAATGCAGAGACACTGTACTGAGACCAGGGCCAGGGCCAGGGGACTCTGTGAGTCTGGCTCAAGACCGACATTGCCTTGGTTTGTTACATGACTATCGTGATGGGGAAACTGGCTGGAAATCGTAATCACACTGCTCTCTGTTTTTAGTTCGAGTCTAATGAAGCTCTCATCTAGTTCTGTGATGTGTTCACCTCTTTTTCAGGCCTCAGGAACTCTTCCACTTCTATCCTTAATACCCATACCTGATCCGTCCTAATTTCTGGAGAACTCCAGGTTTGAATCCGCATGAGTTGGCACAAGCATACTTGTGCTTTCTCTTTCCTTTGTCTCTCCCTCCTATGTGTTGGGATTTGTGTTTTCTTGTTTTCAGATGTTTAGTTGGTTAGAAGCTGAGAGAATTGGAAGGAAAAGTGCTAGGTGTCTTTATAGGAACTGGGCTGGGTGACTGGCTCATCTCTTCCTGTCATAGGTTAGCATCTCTTGCCTCCTCCCGGCCATAGGTGATGACTAGGGTCTCCATCTCCATGCATCCCATCTTGAGCCTGATCACAGGAACACCTTAGACCTTCAGCCAAGTCCCTAGCTTCTTCAGATGTGTTTCTAAGAAAGTTTTCACATACACGTATGTGTGCATGTGTACTCATAGAGACATGCACACATATGCCTTCCCACGCCATGATCTAACTCCCCCCAACCCTGTTACTCACACACCTTTCAGAAGGAGATGATAGTTTTTGAGATCATCATCCACTCAGACAAAAGTCCTGGACCCATCTTCTCTCCTGATATTGTAACCTCTTGGTGCCCAAGGTGAGTTGGAGGAGAACCGGGAGATGAGAAGCAGAGGTATTGGAGTAAGGCACCCTTCCTCTGTGACTCAGGTCCTTTTTGCTGTTTTTGCAAAGGCTGGCTTCTGCCTCCTCGGTGCCTCTTCCCAGGCCAGTTGTAAATTGGGGTGGGGGTCTGCAACTGTGAGGTCCCGATGCTGCTGCTCCTGCTGGGCTTTCCCTTGGGGAAATAGTTCCCTTATTTATAGTATTGTGCTTCTAGGGAAAGCAGTTTGTGTGTGTTTGTGTGTGTGTAAACATGTGTGTATGTGCACGTGGACACACGTGCATTCATACATCCGTGTGTATGTGAATATCTGTTGGGTAAATCAAACCATAGAAGAGTTGCCTCCTGTCTCTGGAATTCCTCCAGAGATATCATTTATTGTTACAGCTTTTGTGTCACACCACATTAGCCCTCAGCTTTGCTATCCCACCACTACAGGAGAGCCAATATTGCAGTTAGCCTGCCAGTGACTCTCTATCTGTTCCCATCTTGGATTCTTCCCTGTTTCTGTCTTCCAACCCACACTCATATTTCTACCTGGGATGCACCATTTTTACTCACAATATGCTGTCGAGAAGGAGTCAGGATGTTGTCTTCCCGTAAATAGTACTCAGTAACAAACCATTGCATTTTAGTTTGGCAGTGCCCCTTCCCACCCTCCAGATCCCTTCCAGCCTAAGGCCCTCCCCTCTTCCTACCATGTATTTCTCAGTTTCCCTTTTTGTTTGTTGAATTGTTTCTCCTCACCCTACCACTCTTGGATCGTAATGTAAAATTCTTTTACCATGTCAAGAAATTATTAAAATGCAGGTACTTTGACTTCTTTCTAAAGTCACAGACCCTGGTGGATGCTCTGGTAGCTAGGGGCCTCCCAGTGCTCATGTGTGCGTGCATTTCCACAGGCCCCCCCTTCTCCACTACCCTTATGCCGGCTGAACTGCCTCTTTTCTCTGGAATAATGCAAGGACTAAGGCTTCTGGCTACCAAGAGGCAAAGGTGGGCCCGTCGTTTATATTCAGTCTAAATTAAATTATATGAAAGGTAGTTCTTTTCAAACTTACGCTACCTTCTGTTGCCATCCTTACAAAGCCCCAGCTCCTGGATTCCAGTGATAGCCATGAACTGCCAGTAGAGGCTGCTGTCGTTCCATATGTGGAATGTAACCTGGTTCAAGGAGCGCTCCGTCCCAGTCTCTGTGTCAGATACCAGTTCTCCCAGCTCTTTCCTTCCTTGAGGAGATGCCAGGGACTCCTGGTTCTGATTATCTAGTTGCTTTGAGGGCTGCCTGGGGCCCTAGCTCCCTCTGAAATAAAGTGTTCTCAGCTTCCACCACACAAGTAGCCTGGTTTCCAGTGAGAACCTCACTGTCAGCAAAAGATTTAAGGTCATGAAGAGTGGGGGACCATCTCTTTGATTTTATTTTAGAGATCAGCACCCATAGCTAACAGATTTTACTGCCTACCTGGTGTGACGCTCCGCTAAGCGCATTGTGTTCCTGATCGCATGTAATTTCCATGAATCCAGAGGGTAGTTTTCATGATCCCTTCCCTGAAGGTGAGGAAACTGAGCCCTCAGGATAAGCAGCTCCTTTAATGTAGAGCTTAGGGGATTGGGGCTGGTGTGCAAGTCTGACTGCTGCTCATCCAGGCCTTGCACCATTCATGCCTCCTTTCTCACTGATGAGATGGAGAGATGGAAGAAGGCTGAAACCTCATACCAAGGATTTGGCTTTAGGCAGCAGACAGACCTGGGTATTTAGTTGTGAACTGGACAGTGGGTCCTGGCAATACTGGAAGCAGGAAAATGGGCAATGACAGTGCCTGCACATGGCATGCGGGACTTGCTGAGCATCAGAAATTGACATTTGTCTTCAGCTCCAGTCTGGGGGGACAGTGTTAGGCATTGATACTCTAATCTGCTTTGAGTGGATGAAAGTCAATCATTGGTACTGACCATGGTACTTTCAGGAGCTCAGGACACAGTAGAAGGCTGTATACATGGGAGTGGCTCCTGAGCCAAACCACAAGACAGAAAATTGGAACAGAATTATACTAATCAAGGTCAGAAATTTCCTGTCCAGCCCACGGGGTGGAGTTTTCTCAATTCCTATCCATCCTTGTGAATATAAACCCTGATTTGATGTCTGACTGGGAAAGAGCACCGACTAGGACGCTGATTTCAGCTCTCAGCATCCACCATGAATATCAAGGTAGTCCTCGTGGTTCTGATTCTGTCCCTCATTACCATCTTTACCCTGGCCTATGTTCTGCTGACCAGCCGAGGTGGCTCCAGCCAGCCTCCCCGATGCCCTTCCATAGCCCCTAGTGCCCAGCCCTGGACACAACCTGGTCAAAGCCAGCTGTTTGCAGACCTGAGCCAAGAAGAACTGACGGCTGTGATGAGCTTTCTGACCCAGCAGCTGGGACCTGGGCTGGTGGATGCAGCCCAGGCCCGGCCCTCGGACAACTGTGTCTTCTCAGTGGAGCTTCAGTTGCCTCCCAAGGCAGCAGCCCTGGCCCACTTGGACAGGGGGAGCCCCCCACCTGCCCGGGAGGCCTTGGCCATTATTTTGTTTGGTGGACAAGCCCAGCCCAATGTGAGTGAGCTGGTGGTTGGGCCATTGCCCCGCCCATCCTATATGCGGGATGTGACTGTGAAGCGGCATGGTGGCCCATTGCCCTATCACCGAAGACCCATGCTGGCAACTGAGAATGCTCAGATGTGGAGACATTTGAAAGAGGTGGAGTTTCGCAAGGCACCCATCTTCCTGTCTTCAGTCTTCAACTACAATGGCTCCACTTTGGCACCCTTACACGCCACCCCTCGTGGCTTACGCTCAGGGGACCGAGCTACCTGGATAGGCCTCTACCATAACATCTCAGGTGTTGGTGTCTTCCTTCACCCAGTGGGGCTGGAGCTGCTGTTGGACCATAGGTCTCTGGACCCTGCCCACTGGGCTGTCCAGCAGGTCTTCTACCTTGGACAGTACTATACAGACTTGGGCCAGTTGGAATGGGAGTTTAAGGCTGGCCGACTGGCAGTCGTCAAAGTTCCTCTACCCTCACCAGATGGTGCTTCATCTCTTAGGGCCCGGGTCTCCCCAGGGCCTCTGCCACCACTTCAGTTCTCTGCTCAGGGCTCCCAATACAGTGTACAAGGGAACCTGGTGCTGTCGCCCCTCTGGTCATTTGCATTTGGCCATGGGGTGTTCAGTGGTATGAGGATGTTTGATATTCGGTTTAAGGGCGAGCGAGTGGCTTATGAAGTCAGTGTCCAAGAATGTCTGTCTATCTACGGTGGTGAGTCACCCAAGACAATGATGACCCGATACCTGGATAGCAGCTATGGACTTGGCAGTCACAGCAAGGGCTTGGTACGGGGAGTGGACTGCCCCTATCAAGCCACAATGGTGGACATCCACATTTTGGTAGGCAGAGGGACAACCCAGCTGCTCCCAGGTGCTGTGTGTGTATTTGAGGAGGTCCGGGGACTGCCCTTTCGAAGACATCACAATCGGATTGAGAGTCATTTCTATGGCGGGTTGGCCAGCTCAGCCCTTGTGGTCAGGTCTGTGTCATCTGTGGGCAACTATGACTACATTTGGGACTTTGTGTTGCACCCAAATGGGGCAATCGAAGGGCGGGTCCATGCCACAGGCTATATCAACTCGGCTTTCCTGAGGGGGGGAGAGGAGAACCTTCGCTTTGGGAACCGTGTTGGGGAACAAGTGCTGGGGACAGTGCACACCCATGCCTTCCACTTCAAGCTGGACCTGGATGTAGCAGGTGAGTGCTGAGCAGATTAGGGTTGGCGGCGGAGAGGGGAGAGGTCTCTGGAGGTTTCTGGAAGAGATAAGAGGGTGGGGTTCGTGTCACAGTTTGTTAGGCCGGGGGAGCAAGGACTGATGGAGCGTATTCAACTGCAGTTGGTCTGCACGCTAGGCATTTGGTAAAAGGTAAAGAAGGTTCTGACCAGTTCCTTTGACCTGTGATGGTGGCGAAACTACCCTAACTAGACAGGCTGCTTGATGTGGGCCTGAGGCACCCCGTGGGGAGATGCAGTGGCCTGCCCTGCAGTGCAGGAAGATGTGTACTCACTGGAGAGGCTGTAATGGGGCGCTCAGGGTTCTTCCTAACTGAAGGTTAACGGGTTTGGGGCTGGTAAACAGAAACAAGCAGTCTTTCTAAAGCTTCAGGCTAGGGATGTTGTGGAACCTGAGAAGGGTGTGGTTCCAGAGCTAGAGGATTTCCAACAACTGGGGTGGGACATAGTGGCCCCATCAAGGGGAGGGCCGGCCCATTCTTCAGTACATGTCATCAGGTGGACTTGGTGACATGAAGGCATCCTGCAAGCTTAGTGCACGCATGGAAAGCGACTTCTCAGCAGGGCTTGGAGCACAAAGAGGCCTTGCTGCTCTTGACATTTTGTGGAGGCCAAGGTAACTACTTTAGAAGTCATGTAATTTTAAGACGCAGAAAATGAGCAATTTACCCAACAGCTCCATTTTACAGTTGCAAACAGGTAAATGGAGGCCATGGTGGGACAGGAAATGACTGCCTAAGTATAATGCACTATGACATTTATGAAACATTTTCTTACCTTGTTTAGAAAGGCATGGGGAGGAGGAGAGCTTAAAAAAAAAAAGCCACTAATAGGATCACATTTTATTGACTAGATGATTTGACCTATTTGGGATATGACTTTTCTGATTTGAAATTTCTCTTGAGTACTTTTGACATTAAATAGCCTTGTTTTGGGAAGTCAAATGAAGTACGTTTATTGGGGACCTAATGTCATGGCGCTGTGGGTTAATATGATGGACTGCAGGTCCGTTTGAACTGTAAAGTCGGCAGTTAAAGCTCTCACCAGCTGCTCCTCGGAAACCCTGTGCAGGGTTGCTATGAGTTAGAACTGACTCGACAGCACATAACAACAGTGGTGTGGTGGATAAGCACTGGACTGTTAACTAAAAGGGTGGTAGTTGAAACTCATCAGCCACTCCTTGATGGAACTGACTTGATGGCATTTAACATCCAAGTGTACACAGCACAGGTGGAAGGCTTACAGGAGGAAGGGCCAGCTTTCCAGGGCATCCCTGTACCGGTGCAATGAGCATGGGTCACACGTAAAGAAACTAACATTCCACTGAAGACCTGCAGAACGAACCAGTGTCTGACCAAGTGCTGGGCCAGGTAGTGAAGGCTACAAATGCAGTGGAGGTCCTGGGAGCTCTAGGCAGTTTGAAGACACACATCTCCCTGATTCCATAAAAGACTGGATGTGGTCCAGTCTGTTGAGACAGCTAAATCTCAGAGCTGGAGAAGAGTGTGCAGTGGACCATGGATGGAATTGGGTTTTTCCAGCAAGGTCATCAGAGGTATATCTTAACATAGCTGTAAGAATGTTAATAGTTACATGCATGTGCTAGCATAACTGCATTTGTAATTCCTCGGACCCTCACAACATCTCTGAGGTGGTAGAACAGAAGTTATATGACATCCAGTGTAGAGATGAAGAGATGGACTCTGAATCAAAAACTTGGTCCAAGGTCTACTGGGTAGATCAGCACGAATAGAATTTTCTATACTAGTCTCCATCTGCACTGTCCAGTTAAGTTAATAGCCACATGTGGCTGATGAACACTTGAAATATGGCTAGTGTATCTGAGTAACCAAATTCTTAAGTTTGATTTCATTTTAATAACCACATGTTAACTAAACTAAAACTCACTCACTGCCAGTGAATTGACTCTGGCTCCTAGGGACCCTACAGGACAGAGGAGAACCACCCTTCAGGGAGTCCAGAGTTACACACATTTGTATGGCACATCTTTCTCCGGTGTGGCTGGTACGTTCAAACTGCCAACATTTCAGCAGCCTATTGCTTAACCATTGTATCACCAGGCTTCCTCATACGTGACTTTAGTGCCATCAAGTCAGTTGAAACTCATAGCGACCCTGTATAGGGTTTCTAAGGCTGTAAATCTTTGCATCCTTGTAAGGAGCGGCTATGGACTCGAACCAACGACTTTGTGGTTAACAGTCTAGTACTTACAACACAGAGCCACTGTGCTTCCCACATATGACTTAATGGTTACCATAAAGGACATGTGACAGGTTAGAAAAAGGCTAGCACTTGAATCCAGACCTTTGGGTCTTTGCACTGGCGCTCTGACGAACTGCCTTTTGTGGGTCTATGCAGTGGGGCTTTGTGGGGAAGATAAAGGGTCTGTCTGGGTGACCTCACCTGGTGTGGAATTCCTTTCCCTCCCCTCACCTGGCAGGACTGAAAAACTGGGTTGTGGCTGAAGACGTGGTGTTTAAACCCGTGGCAGCCCCCTGGAGCCCAGAGCAGCAGCTGTATCGCCCACAGTTGACTCGGCAGGTCCTGGAGAGGGAGGATCTGACAGCATTCTCCTTGGGAAGCCTCCTTCCCCGTTACCTTTACCTGGCAAGCAATGAGACTAATGCTTGGGGTCACCAGCGTGGGTACCGAATCCAGAGCCACAGTCCCCTTGGCATACACATGCCCCTGGAAAGCAACATGGAGAGGGCCCTCAGCTGGGGGAGGTGAGGAGGACCCAGGGCAGGGGGGTGGTAGGGGAGGGTCACCCCAGCCCCCAGCCCAGATCTTGGAGACCCCAACTGACATGCATTCATTCTTGTATCCCCCCTTAGATCCAAGTAGATATGGGATGGGAAAGGTGTCCCAGAATCTGACCCACAGGGTTCTTAGGCTGGTAAAGGCCCTTGTCACTTTCTGACACCACCTCCTCCAACAATTCCTGGTCAGATACCAGCTAGCAGTGACCCGCAGGAAGGAAGAAGAGTCACAGAGCAGCAGCATCTATTACCAGAATGACATCTGGACACCCACTGTGGCCTTTGCTGACTTCATCAACAATGAAACCCTCTTAGGAGAGGTTCGTAGCCTAGGGCCAATGACGTTCATCCTTCCTGGGGCAGCCACGGGGACACTTTCTGTAGCTTCTCACACAGATCACCTGGGCATATGGTGTAGGCAGAGGTCAGAGGTGGACGCAGGACTCAGACTGAAGGCTCAGGAATTATAGCTGGAGTGGGGGTGGGAAATGGGTGCTTTAGGGTTTTGCCTCCAAGCCCTCCAGCGCTTCCCTCTTCCTGCAGGACCTGGTGGCCTGGGTTACAGCCAGCTTCCTGCATATCCCCCATGCTGAGGATATCCCCAACACAGTGACTGTGGGGAACAGTGTTGGCTTCTTGCTCCGACCCTATAACTTCTTTGATGAGGACCCCTCCATCTTCTCCCCTGGCAGCATCTACTTTGAGAAGGGCCAGGATGCTGAGCATTGCAGTGTCAATCCCATGGCCTGCATCCCCCACCTGGCGGCCTGTACCCCAGACCTGCCCCCGTTCTCTTACTCAGACTTCTAACCCTGAGGGTGCAGTGTGAGACCTGGAGGGGCTGAGACAGGAGTCCCTTCCTCTTCTTCACTCCCCAGCCCCGAACCCTTATCAGTCCTTTTCCTCTGATTCACACTCCCAAAGTTCCTTAGGAAACCACCTCTTCCCAGATAACCCAGATACCATTATCATTTCCTGTTCATTTAAAAACAAAAATAAAGATGAATTTATAAAAACGGTATTAAAATATTGAAGCAAAAACAGCATACATCCTACCACTCAGAGATACTTAATGTTCACTTTGGGTGAGCACTTCGCTACACATTTCTTTATGCATATATATTCAAATGGAAGAATAGATAAAATTTTGTAAAATAAATGATAACATGGTATGTGCAATTTAAAATAAAAAGTATTGCAAGGATTTTACTTGAATTTATTCTGTTTGACTTTAAAAATCTGCAGAGTCTGCCAGAGAATGTTTAGGACTCTTGCCAAGGAAATTAACGGAGGAGGAGAAGCTAGCAGGAAAAAGGAGACAGACCTGGCCAAGGAACGTCACGGGGGAACTCTGAGGGCTGGGAGTAGAGGTTTCCTTAGGAGGAGAATAATAGTTTGTAGTTACAGGAAAGGGAACATCTGGCCCTGGAAATGTGGGGGCTGGAGAAGGAAGCTGGGCTAGTGGGGAGACTTGGGGTTACTCTGTGCAGACTCAGCTCCTTGCTGGGGTTGTATTTCTGTGCTCAGGCCAGCTGCTTTATCTTGAAATTTCCTCCCCGTCGCTCCTACCCCAAACTCAGCTCTCTCCTTCAACTCCCAACTCCAACCCTGACCTAGAGAGCGGGTGCCTGGTTTGGAGCCTGGAGGACCAAGCCTTGTAAGGTCTGTGGAAATCGCTGCTGCCTGGCTTCAGACCCGCCCCCCAGCCCTGGCCCATCCTCCTCCCGTGTGCATTTCCCAGGCTCCAGTCTCCTAAGTGCCTAACTCCCAGGAGCCTCCGCCAGCAACCAGGAGCCCACCAGCCTAGAAGCCAAGAGAACCTCTCTCCTTCGGGCCTGAGGACACATACTACCCTGCTGCCCACTCCGGATCACAAGAGAGACGATGAGCCAGAAGGCCACCCTGGTGCTCCTGGCTCTGGCCGTAATCACAATCTTTGCCTTGGTTTGTGTCTTGTTAGCTGGCAGGAGTGGAGATGGGGGGGAACCCAGCCTGCCTCCCCGCTGCTCCTCTGAGTCCCCCAGTGCCCAGCCCTTGACACAGGCTGACCAGAACCAGCTGTTTGCCGACCTGAGCCGAGAAGAACTGACGGCTGTGATGAGCTTTCTGACCCAGCAGCTGGGACCCGGGCTGGTGGATGCAGCCCAGGCCCGGCCCTCGGACAACTGTGTCTTCTCCGTGGAGCTTCAGCTGCCCCCCAAGGAGGCAGCCCTGGCCCACCTGGACAGGGGGAGCCCCCCACCTGCCCGGGAGGCCCTGGCCATCATCTTGTTTGGGGGGCAAGCGCAGCCCAATGTGAGTGAGCTAGTGGTAGGGCCGCTGCCCCATCCATCCTACATGCGGGATGTGACCGTGGAACGCCACGGGGGCCCTCTGCCCTACCATCGTCGGCCTGTACTGGCCAAAGAGTACCTGGATATAGACCAGATGATCTTTGACAGAGAACTGCCCCAGGTCGCTACGCTTCTTCACAAATGTTGTTTCTATAAACACCGTGGACGGAACCTGGTGAAACTGACCACTAGCCCACGTGGACTGCAATCAGGGGACCGGGCCACCTGGTTTGGCCTCTACTACAACATCTCAGGGGCTGGGATATATCTGCACCCTGTGGGCTTGGAGCTGCTGGTAGACCACAAGGCTCTGGACCCTGCCCAATGGACCATCCGGAAGGTGTTCTATCAAGGCCGCTACTATGAAAGTCTGGCCCAGCTAGAGGACAAGTTTAAGGTTGGCCTGGTGAATGTCACGCTGATCCCAGACAATGGCACAGGTGGGTCCTGGTCCCTCAAGTCCCAGGTGTTCCCAAATCAGGCTCCCCCTCTGCAGTTCTATCCACAGGGTCCCCGCTTCAGGGTCCAGGGGAGTCGAGTGGTCTCCTCATTGTGGACTTTCTCCTTTGGCCTCAGGGCTTTCAGCGGCCCAAGGATCTTCGACATCCGCTTCCAAGGAGAACGGCTAGCATACGAGATCAGCCTCCAAGAGGCTTTGACTATCTATGGTGGAAACTCCCCAGCAGCAATGCAGACCCGCTATATCGATAGTAGCTTTGGCATGGGCAAGTACTCCACGCCCCTGACCCGTGGTGTGGACTGCCCCTACGTAGCCACTTACTTGGACTGGCACTTCCTCTTGGAATCCCAGACCCCCAAGACACTCCGTGATGCCTTTTGTGTGTTTGAACAGAACCAGGGCCTCCCTCTGCGGCGGCACCACTCAGATTTCCACTCCCACTACTTTGGGGGCCTTGCAGACACGGTTCTGATCATCCGGGCTGTGTTCACCTTGCTCAACTATGACTATGTGTGGGACATGGTCTTCCATCCCAATGGGGCCATTGAAGTCAGGTTCCATGCCACAGGCTACATCAGCTCAGCATTCTTCTTTGGTGCGGCCCAGAAATATGGAAACAAAGTTGGGGAGCACACACTGGGCACTGTCCACACCCACAGTGCCCACTTCAAGGTGGATCTGGACATAGCAGGTAAGATATCCTGGCAGACAAGGATGCCAGACAAGGGGGTGAAGAGTTATCGCCATTGGCTTTGGGTTTTGTGTAGGTATCCAGGGCAGGAAGATTTGAGCATGACTACACAGTTTTGAATTTTCATGCTTCCCCTTTTGCTGGATTGGAGAGAGCTGGCTATTGAATTTTTTCAGTGGCTGGGTGCACAGCTGCCAGCCTCCTTCCACGTGACCTCGTTAGAAAATCTTGAGAAATAGCTTTGCTAGTTTCCAGTAGTATCCAGGTAAACGGGCTCTCCTTTGCCTTCCTCCTTTGTAGTTGCATGGGCATCACCTCAAATAGGTGACCATATGGTTTTCAGCATTCTGGCCTGTTTTCTGGGTCTGGCCTGTGGGGCTTACTGGTCTTTTCATTCTGTTTCCTTGGATGGTACAAACACCTGGCTACTAACTGTAAGGCTGGCAGTTCAAGGTCACCTAGAGGCACCTTGGAAGAAAGGTTGGTGATCTACCTCTGAAAAATGAGTTCTACTCTGCAACACATTGGAGTGGACTCTGGCAACTGGTTGGTTGTTGGTGGTTTGCATTCTATTAAGTCCCTGGTGTGGCACCACAGGATAATACATTGGACTGCAAGGTCAGCAGTTCAAACCCACCAGCCACTCCTCAGAAACCCTATACAGGTCACTATGAGTCAGAACTGACTCAATGCCACTTAACAACAAGAACTCCCTGTCAGGCCTGTCATGGGACAATCCTGGGTTGCACATTTCTGGAAGATGGACCCTCTGCATTCCTGACCACCCAGCTCTTTCTGGGCATGATACATTTAAAGTTGAGGGATGGGAAAGATGTTGTTATTAAGTGCCATCAAGTTGGTTTTGACCCATAGCAATCCTATGTAGGGTTTCTGAGGAGCAGCTGGTGAGTTTGAACCGCTAACCTTGTGGTTCAAACTGACTTTGTGGTCCAGCGCATTAACCCACAGTGCCATATGGGAGAGACAATGAGGACTATTTAGGGTAGTTCCTCGGGCTGGTGGTTACAGAGCACTAAGACTGTGTGACTGTCTTGGCATCGTCTTTGCTTTTCATTTTCCCTCCTTCTCCACATTGAGTTGATCACCATGTTTTTCTTCCATTCTGCCTCTGAAATATCTCTAAACCCTTCCTTGCCCTGCCCCCCCCCCGCCATCCCTGTTGGCATTTCTCTGCTGTGTTGCCCCCCTCTTCACTTCTTCTGAGACTCAGGCCCACTCTGTGCCCAGAGGAACCTTCCAGATCAAGCCAGCCTGCAGCCTCTGGATCCTGCTTGCAGAACGGCTGACAAGGCCCTTCCTGCCCTGCAGAGCCTTCCTCACATTCCAGCTACTCCCACTACCCCTGTCCCAGGATACCCCAGGAGTGCAGTCAGCTTCTTAGTGTTTGTCTCACCTTGGCCACATTGTCTCTGCTGGTGACATCCTTCAAGGCTAGGCTGTAAAGCTGCCCACACTGTGCTCCTAGAACCTTGACACTTCAGCCAGTCAGGTTTATGGTCTGGGAGTGGGTGGATGAGGATAGGCTTTCATTCATCTCTGTATCCCCAAGGCTGAGTTCAGTCCTAGTTATTGAAAAGATGAATGGATGGAATAGAATCCCTAAAGAAATATTTGAATGTAATGGAGTTCTGGGGTGGTGCTGTAGGCTAAGCACTGGACTGTTAACTGCAAGGTCAGCAGTTCAAACTCCACCAGCCGCTCCTCAGAAACCCTATACAAGATCTCTATGAGTTGGAAACTACTTGAAGGCACTTAACAACAAAAACATCCATAGCTCTGGCTGAAGGGTTGGAGGGATCTAGGGCAGAGGGACAGGAAATGCGGAGCTCACTCAGTTCTGTGCTTCTTTTTAAGACTCTGGGCCCCCTGGCTCTAAAGCTGCCATGAGTCAGAAATGACTCCATGGCACTTCACACCACCATCACCAACTCTGAAGCGGACTGGGGGAAGAGGCTAGAGGGAGCAGGGCAGCTGTATGATCAGCTCTTTCTTTCTACCTGCCCCCCTCCTGCAGGACTGAAGAACTGGGTCTGGGCTGAAGACATGGCCTTTGTCCCTACTCCAGTGCCCTGGAACCCCCAGCACCAGTTGCAGAAGCTGAAGGTGACTCGGAAGCTGCTGGAAACTGAGGAGCAGGCTGCCTTTCCCCTGGGAGGGGTGACCCCTCGCTACCTGTACCTGGCCAGCAACCACAGCAACAAGTGGGGTCACTTGCGAGGCTACCGGATCCAGATGCTCAGTTTTGCAGGGGAACCGCTACCCCAGAACAGCTCCATGGAGAGAGCCTTCAGCTGGGGGAGGTGAGCAGGGTGGGTGTCAGAGAGGGCCTAGAGGTGAATGGGATGGAGGGGGACAGTGTGGAGTGGGAAGGGGCAACTGGGAATTCAATCCAAACTCTCCACTGGGGTAAGAGTTCAGGAAGGATTTCCTAGTTATCACATCAGAAGTTGTCTCCAAGGGCACTTTTCCCATGGAGCGCTAAAGCCCAGGAATGAGGAGAACTCTTTTCTCATTTTGCTGGGAGAGGGAGCATTCTGTGTCCAGGGAGGGGATGAACAGGCAGGTTTTGGAAAGGTGCTGCCAGACACCCTAGGATAATGTCAGAAGTTCTGCAGAGTTTAGCTGTTAATGAAAATGAGATGGGGAAATAGGTCTGTTCATTCAGCTCCCTCCCATCAGAATCAGACAGACAGCAGGATGGGGTTAGTGACCATGGTACCCTGACCAGTACTTCCCTAGGTACCAGCTGGCCGTGACCCAGAGGAAGGAAGAGGAGCCCAGTAGCACGAGCATCTACAATCAGAATGACCCTTGGACCCCAACCGTGGACTTTACAGATTTCATCAACAATGAGACCATTGCTGGAGAGGTCAGCTGACCTTGGGAGGGTGGAGGGAGGGAGATGGGGCACAACGATGAGACCCACATCTCTTGGAGGTCCTTGCCAACCATGTGAGCTGCTCAGGAGTAGATCTCACAATGGCCTTTTGAGAGAATCTTCTTAATTTGGGAGTTGATATGTAGACACTGGGCGAGGGCCCAGACCTGTCCTTCATACCCTAAAGTCCTCTAGATCCCAGCTTCATGGAAGGAGACTGGCCATAGGATGGCAATATTTTCTGACCTCAGAATTCATGAAGGGCTGGGAACCAGCAGGGAAGCTTCTCCCAGCCCTTGCTCCGCCCCTGTCAGGTACTTTTCTGAATGTTGGCCTCTTCTTGCCTCCATTCTCCTACTCTGTTTGGAAATTCCAGGAAAGTGAAGAGAGGAGCTGAGGTAGCCTGTGTGTTATCCTTCCTGGGAAATGTCACAGAGAGGACACAGGCCAGGGGCAAGGTGCAGTATCGATGCAGCTATGAAAGGAACTAGTTATGTTTAGACTTCCGGGCCAGTAGGAGAAAAAAAATACTTTAAAATTCTTCAACACAGGATTCTTTTGAGGGAAGATGGGCTAGTAAGCTGGATCCTTTTAGGCAGACGGAGCATGTCCTTAGCAAAGTCAGGCCACTGACCCTCTTTCTTCTCCCCTGTTAGGACTTGGTGGCCTGGGTAACAGCTGGCTTCCTGCATATCCCACATGCTGAGGACATTCCCAACACAGTGACTGTGGGAAATGGTGTGGGCTTCTTCCTCCGGCCCTACAACTTCTTTGATGAGGACCCTTCCATCAACTCAGCTGACGCTGTCTACTTCCGGGGAGACCAAGACTCGGGAGCCTGTGAGGTCAACCCCCTGGCTTGCCTCCCACAGACTGCTGCCTGTGTCCCGGACCTCCCTGCCTTCTCCCATGGAGGCTTCTCTCACAACTAGTTGGTCTCTAGGATGGGAAGTCTTACCAGGGGCTCCAGGGCAAGGGAATGGGGAGAGGAGGAAACTGGTCATCCTGCTTTCTGATCACCTTCCTCAGACCCCTGATGTCCCCTCCCGTCCCTAGTCTCCTCTGTCCTCCATCGCTCTCCCTTATACTAACTCCTGCCAGGAGCATCCTGAGCTCAAGGGGAACTCAGACATGCTAGGATCCCACCCAGTGAAGAGAGGGAGTGAAAAACAAGTTCTTCTCCCACCACACTCCTTTTGTACATTTTCTTCTGCCTCCTAGTTTTCCCACATCTTTTTGGACTAGCTCTGGGTCTCTGCCTGGCTTCCAAAGGCCCTTTCCTGGGAGATGAGGATGGAGGCTCCAGGGCAGGTTCCTGCCCATCTACAGACAGCTGGAAAGGTTCCTCTGCCTACATTCCTGTTCATCCTCTGCTTCCCCACCTTGCCCTCCCTCCCTGTTTTTATATCCTGGATATCCCTTAAGGTGCTCGCCAGCCCTCATTTATCAACTTCAGTCTCCTCTCCAGCCCCTGGGGCTGTGGAAATTACAAAGATGCAAGGGGATATCTAGTTTGAAGGGACAATTCCTGTTTGCCTCCTGGGTCTGTCACTTAGTCCAGTAGGACTTATCCTCACCTGTATCCTGGGGCAGAATTGTGTTTCTGAACAGTTTCTTCCTCTCATTTTTATTTCTCTGCTTTGCCCTGATGGTGCAGTGGTTAAGTGCTTGATGGCTACCAAAAGGTCAGCAGTTCAAACTCACCAACCAGTGCTCCAAGGCAGAAAGATGTTACCATCTGCTTCCATAAAGATCACAGCCTTGGTCACCCATGGGGCACTCCTACTCTGTCCTAATCGGCTGCTATGAGTTGGTCAGAACCAACTCAGTGATAACATGTTTGGATTTTTGTTCTTTTGGCCTTGCCCTCTTTGGCGAGCATGTTCATAGTGACAGATAGCTGCAGTTCAAGCTAACCTTTTATGTGGTGGTGTGGGCTGTTTGACAGTGGCCTCCACTCAGCAGAAGGGAGGAGGAGGTGGACACCAGGTGGGAAGCAGAAAACCCTTAGATCATGCAGACATGTGCAGACATGCCAATGAGCCATGGCCTCTGGTGAGGAGGGGATGTCCCATGGGGACACAGTCTCAGGGCATCTCATCACTCACTGCTTTCCCTCCTGGGGTGTGGATTGGGGATGGGCACAAACAAATAGCAAGGGGGTGGGGACAAGAGAACAATAGTCATCCGTCCGTAAGACATTGGGTTAGACAAACTCTGATACAGCTTTCAGTGCAATACTACCAATAGAGGATCATCGTCAAGTGAAGCAGGCAAATGCAGAAATGATCAAGCACCTCCCATCTGTGTTTTAGAAAGGAGGAGACTGTAAGTACATATTTGTTTATCTATGCATATTCAGAAGAAAAGGGGTCTGGTAACCTCTGAAGAAGGGAACTCAGAGGGAAGAAATAGAAAGGAGGGGACTTGACACTGTATAACCTTTTGTACATTTTGAATTTTGAACCATGCAACCGTATTATTGATTCAAAATAAAACACTAAATGGGTTCAAACAGGTGGTGACATGTGTTTTAGGAAAGGGTGGGACTGGAGAGAGACTGTAAGGAGGGTTAAGGGATAGATCCCGGCAATGGAATTTTCTCAAGTTCCTGAGAGTCAGAGAAACAAGTATGGTTCTTGATAATGCCTTTGCCTTTCCTTGTTGTGTGTATTGCCTCCCAGGGAAATGGTAAGCCTTTGTCAATGTCTGTCTGTCTCTCTTCTACAAGAGGGGTCAGGAAGCAGCAACAGGGGACGGGGTGACATCTGTCTGCTGGAAGCCTAGGGTGGGAGGTGAAATGCAGGAGACAGGGAGGTCATATCCTGGAACTCAGATACCACAGAAGCTTTTGCTACCTTCTGTCCTGCCCCAAGCCCAGGTTCACCCCAGGATCAATGGAACAGCCGGTGGGACAAGTCAGTAACTACATTCTAATGAACAGGGTCAAAGACCTCAGCATGGAATACAGCCCAGCAATGGCTGGATCGCTTTCTAATATAGCCTAAGGTGAAATCAAACAGTTTGCTCTTGGTTACTAACCTAAAGGCTGGAGGTTCAAACCCACCCAGTGCTACTGGGTGGAAGAAAGACCTGGTGAACTGCTTCTATATAAAGATGTTGTTGTTGTTGTTATGTGCCGTGGAGTCGGTTCCGACCCATAGTGACCCTGTATAGGGTTTCCGAGGCTATAAATCTTTACAGGAGCAGAAAGCCTCATCTTTCTCCCATGAAAAAGCTGGTAGTTTCAAACTGCTGACCTTGTGGTACGCAGCCTAATTCGTAACCACTACGCTACCAGAGCTCCTTGTATAAAAGATAACAGCCAGGAAAGCCCTGTGGCCCCGTTGCATCTCTAACAATGGGGTTTGTCATGAATAGGAATCAACTTGAGGGCAATGAGTTTAGGTGGGTTTTTTTGTTTAATTCCTACAGCTTTAAGGATAAGCACTGGACTGCTAACCATAAGGTCGTCAGTTCAAAGCCACTGTCTGCTCCTTGGAAAGCCCATACAGGGTCGCTATGAGTCAGAACTGACTCCAAGGCACTTAACAAGAAGAGCAGTGATAAGAGAAGCTGCTGCACCTCTGTATCAAGCTCCATCTGCTACATAAACATTTTGGATAACCGGACCCTTTTGATATTGGTTTTCCAAATATCTGTTTCCCTGCAGTTACTACCCTGCCTAAAGCACGCACCATTCGAGCCTTCCTGCCCTTACTCTGCCACTCGCCCACTCCTGTCCTCACCTCACACCACATACACTGATCTTTTGACTACCCACCTAGGCCAACTTGTTTCAAGTTTCCGTATCTTTGTATTTCTGTCCTCTTCAAGTACAATGTCCTCTTCTCTGCCAAACTAATACATCAATCTTCCAGGACGGCTCAAATCTCTTTTCCTGGGGAAGTCTTCCTGGAGGTGTCCAGGCTCTTGAGGAAAGCACATCCCCTCTCTGGAATCTTAGTCCCTCTTAGTTCCTCTTGAGAGCTGGTTGCTCAGATGACCGTGGTCTCCTGTCACCAGCAGTCATCGACTGTGAGGAATGGAGGTGGCTTTGCACTGTCTATACAACATCCTATTAGAGGCTTCCCTGTGGGTTACCCCCATAGCCAGTTGCCCAGCCCCTGCTGACCTCTGACCTACCTATGAGTCCTGCTCAGGGAGAGATGGGAGGGGCTCAGTTACACTGTAACCCATTGCTACCACAATGAACTGGCCTGCATCCTCTCTACGTGACCTCCCCAATGTGATCTAGCTCAACCTTCACGCTCCCAGTCCACCCCAGATGCTTTCGGTTCTAATTTTCAAGCTTACCTTGGGCTAAAGCATTGGATTCTGGTTGATGGGTGGGGAGCAGTGGTGAGAACAGGCTAGAGGGGTTGCAAGCCAGATGGAGGAGGGATGCTTGGTGAGATGTATGAGTGGATGGGCTTTGCCTCCAGCCTTGCAGCCATAAAGGTAGATATGGAAGGTAGAGGAATTGTTTCTCTTTCCTCTTGCCTGTGCCAGCTGAGTTAGCTCCAAACCTACCTCTCTCCTTCCCTACCCTTGACCCAGAAGGCACTGTTTGATTTGGAACAGGACAGAGGCTTGCATGGACCACTTAGAGTTCAGGTTCCTACCTTGGCCCCACCTCCTCATTCACATCTGATCCCTAGCAGCCCCACCCAACCCACTCTCTGCTGTTGGTCAGTTGTTTTCACCATTACCCATATGCCTCTTGGCTAGCTGTACCACCCAGAGACCGGGACCCTCCAACCAGAGAAAGGCACCCATGTCCTGTCTGTTCGTCTTTATATCTCCTGTTCTGCATTCAAAATGAAGACTGGCCAGGGGCTTGTAGCTAAGGTTGTGGTCTTCTTGATTTTGAACATTATTGTTGTTATGTGCCATCGAGTCGGTTCCGACCCATAGCGACCCTGTATAGGGTTTCCGAGGGTGTAAATCTTTACGGGAGTAGAAAGCCTCATCTTTCTCCCGCGGAGCAGCTGGTAGTTTCGAACCGCTGACCTTAAGGTTCGCAGCCCGATTCGTAACCACTACGCTACCAGAGCATGGCTATATATTTATCTGGGTTTTATAGCTCAATAGGAGTCTGTGATGAGTGTACTGATTAACACTCTCAAATGCTAACTGAAAGGAAGGTGGTTCAAGTCCACTCAGAGGCACCTCAGAAGAAACACTTGAGAGCACAATTCTACTCTGACACATATGGGGGAGGGGGGAGCACTCAACAATGTTAGACCCTAAACAAAAAGCCTAAAAGGAAACATTTTTAAACTTACATGTTGGAAGCATACAAGTGTCAGGCCCCTGCACCCCACCCTGAAAGGTCCCGACTGCTGTACCATGATAAGCACCCTGCCTCCGTTACACCCCTGCTTCTGTTACTACACCCCTAAGGAGCTACCAGTGCAAAGGTGTGATAACTGCAAACGTTCTGCTTCTGTATCTTGCTTGCTCTGCCACCAAAAGTTCAGTATATAAACCCCCTGCTACAAGACCTCAGGGCTTGTAGTGTCACAGCCCCTGCGCAGGAATAAAGTTCTCTGCTTTAATTTGACCTCCGTGTAGCGGTGTCAGTTCTTTGGGTACAACAAACAACAGTTACAGATAAATATGAAATACTGATACACATTTGGGTTCATAATGTACATAGTTTTTACCACATCTATCTTTTGACATAATGACATCATTCATTTAAGCAACAAATATTTACTGAATGCACACTATGCACCAAGCACTCTACTAACATAACTTAACAACAGAACATTCCTGACCTCAGGAGGCTTACATCAGAACGGAGGTTTGTATAGAAATGTTTGATGCTTAACCTCTCTGTCCTCAATTGACTGGCGTGTAAAAATGACGTAACAGTGCCTGCCTTGTAAGATTGTTGAAAGAATAGATGATGACTGCTTTAAAAACA